AGAGTACTTCTTGAAACCTTTCTCTCTGTACTGCTGTTGCAAGACCATATTGGAGGCATGAAACGTTGTGAACGTTTTTTCAAGCATATCATAATCAGTGATAGTGTCTCCACAGAGTTTCAATTTAGAAGTAATTCTGAACATCGCAGAATTATATTCAGAAACAGACTTAAAGTCTTGGAGCCTCAGATGAGCCCAATCATATCGTGCTTGTGGAAGAGTGACCAACTTTAAGTTGTCATATCTTTCTTTTAAGCCATTCCACAAAATAAGTGGTTCTTTGACTGTGAGATATTCAATTTTCAACCCTTCATCAAGGTGATGGCGCAAGAAAATCAAGGCCTTAGCACAGTCTTGGGTGGATGCTTTATTTCTGTCTTTAATGGCGTCTCCAAGACCCATGGAATCTAAATGGATTTCAGCATCCAACACCCATGTCATATAGTTCTTGCCCGAAATTTCAAGGGCAACGAACTTTCTTTTCATAATGTCAGTCATAATTAAAAAAAGGAGAAAAATTACCTTAATCTTCTCAAAGAGCTTCTTGAGACGGTAGAGTCTCGTGCTGATAACGTGTTATAAAACAATAAAAGAAGAAGAGCAATATTGCAGAGAAAGAGAGAGAGGGAATTCTTATTGAATTTTTGGGATGATTTACAATGGAATAGAACCCTCTATTTATAGGGAGATGTTGACTTAGCCACCAAGTAATAAACCCTAGAATCTCTCTAAATATGGACATTCACCATAAATAGAATTCTATTTATAACAGATAATTATTTATTGAGTAATTGTTTTCGAGATAATTTTACACTCCTTCCCAGATGGGGTAGTTTTACTAGCACGGAGTTTAAGAAAAAAGAAGAATATTTTTGAAACTTGTGGTCTTAAAAGCTTGAGGGGCAAAAGCTTTGTGGGGCCATGACATTTGTGTGGTTATAAAAGCTTCTCATTAACGGTAAAATGGAAAAAATGAAGAGTTTAAAGTTGAATTATTTTCAAATTTACAAATGTGTCATTTATTTTGAAACAGATTAAAAAGACAAGTAGCTTATCTAATTTGAAACAGAGGGAGTAGTATTAATTATACTTTTTTTTGTTTAATCATTTAATATGAGAGTCTTTCAATTAATTTGATTAATTTGTATTCGTAATGAATACTATATAAAAGACACTACTATTCCCTCTATCTCATATTACCAGTCGTGGTTACTAAAAATAGTTGTGTCAAATTATTTGTCATTTTAAAAGTTTAAGACAAAATTACTTATTTTTTCGCTTTTTACCCTTAGTAATAATTATTCTTGAAGACTACAAACACTTCTACTATGCAGGGGCAGAGGTACAGTAGTGGGTGCGGGTTCGGGCGAACCTAGTGATTTTTTCCGAAATCCTGTATTTGTATTGAAAAATTTACCACATCTATATAAATATATCATGCTGAACCCAGTAACAAAAGAGGTCTGGTTTCAATAGTGAGGGCTGTGGGTTTGCTGGAAAAAGATGTGGGTTCGAATCCCGTTTAAAGCAGTATTTTATTTTATATTTTTTTACAAATTAACTGAATGATGATGTTTTCTTCTGACTTTCCTCTCAACAGACACTAAAATAACATTATTTAATAAATAAAATATAACAATGTGTTCTCTTTCTAATAAACAAAGAACAAAACCTCCGCCCCTGTTAAACGACACACGTTTTCTTCCAATTTCCAAATCAAAAAAGCTAGGGTTATGCTGTCTCTGTTGATTGAAAATCACTGGTACCCCAAATCCACAATCTGCCTCCGCCTCTAACTCTCCACTGTGTATCAGTGTATGCATGCTCTTCTCCCTTAGAAGTTAGACCCTTCTTAGTTCTTCCTTCTTCAATTCTTATTTTCTGATTTTTTGCTTCATGTTTTTATCTTATATATTTGATAATTTATGCAAAATTTGATTTTTAATCTTTGATTTTTATCGAGAATCCAATTTACATTAATTAGCTGCTCTTATTCATAGAGGAAAATAGGCAAATATCCCTTATTTTTTAACGTCTCTGTCTCTGGCTTGTTTTGAATTCGTTAAGAGATTATGGAATGAAACAACAAGAACGCATTTTACCAAGTATTTAACATTTGGTCATAGAAAATTAGGACTACAGTTATGAATAATTTTATTTTTATAAGGCCAACATTTCGGCAGTTTCGGAATCTAACAGGATTATTTACTTTGTCTAATACTTGATGAGATTTTTTATCAAAGGATTCCATTAGTAACTGAATTAATTGATTGACTGTAAGTTCAAGTTAGAGATTGGTAATTCAACACCAACAACATAACATCAAAGGAGATAAAGAATAGTTTGTTATAACATTTTGAAACATACAACTTCAAGTGAATTTGTGTTTTGTGATTTTTAGGTTTTTCTAGAAAAAGTCGGTTTGATCACGAGTTTTTACAAAGCTCAAGCTTCTACAGCTTCTTCTAGCTCTCCTTTGACAAGTTCTCCATGTCCAGTTATTAATAATAATATTAATCCTTCCCAAGCATCAGATAAAGTGTGGGATTACGAGCCCGATTCTGCTAAAAGAAAATCAATTTCAGAATGTCCTCCTAATTTACGTGACCGTGTAAGGAGAAATTATATACAAAATGGGCCTTGTCAACCTCGTGGTTTTGTCTTTCCAAATAGGGATTTTGGAGGAATAATACATCACTTTAATCTTGAATGGTTTAAAACTTCATGTTCTCAATGGTTAGAATATAGCATTAAACAAGATGCAGCATTTTGTTTATGTTGTTACTTGTTTAAAAATGAGGTTGGAGGATATGGAAAAAAAGTAGGTGATGCTTTCATAACAGATGATTTAGAGGTTGGAATAAAGGTTTAGAAAGACTTAAAACACATGTGGGTGACGTGAGTAGTGTTCATAATCAATGTTTCAAGATGATGCTAGATTTAATGAACCAAGCACAATCCATTCTAACTTCTTTGGACAAGCAATCTGAGAGAACTAAAAGTGAACATCGAGTTCGTTTGAATGCTTCAATTGATGTGATAAGGTATCTTTTGAAAGAAGGAATTTCTTTACGGGGCCATGATGAGAGTATAACTTCTACTAGAAGAGGCCATTTTTTAGATCTCTTAAAATGGTATGCAGATAGGAAGGAATGTGTGAAAAATGTGGTATTAGAAAAAGCTCCAAAAAATAACACCATGACTTCTCCTGATATTCAAAAAGATATTGTGAATTCTTGTGCAAAAGAAACGGTGAAAGCAATTATTGAAGACTTGAATTGGAATTTTTTTGGGATATTAGTTGATGAGTCTAAGGATGTCTCTCATAAGGAACAAATAGCTCTTGTTCTGCGCTATGTCAATAAAGAGGGTGAACTTATTGAGCGATTCCTTGGTCTTGTTCATGTTAAAGGTACAACTGCACATGCATTATAAAAAGAGATATATTCTTTGCTTTTACAACATTCATTGAGTTCATCTCTAATACGGGGACAAGGGTATGATGGAGCTAGTAACATGCAAGGAAACATCAATGGTCTTAAAACTTTGATTCTGAAAGATAATCCTTCGGCACATTGCATACATTGCTTTGCTCATCAGTTGCAATTAACTCTTGTAGTTGTTGCAAAGAAACACCATGATGTAAATAATTTTTTTGACATTCTTGCTAATGTTTTGAATGTTGTTGGAGGTTCTTATAAGCGTAGGGAGATGCTTAGAGATGATCAAGGTGAACAATTAGACGAGTTATTAGTGCTTGGTGAAGTTCATACAAGAAGTGGATTAAATCAAGAACTTGAGCTTCAAAGACCAGGTGATACCCGTTCGGGATCTCACTTTAAGACATTGTAACTTTATTTCTTTATTCTCATCAATTGTTCATATACTTGGAGTTCTTGCAAATGAGGGGTTCAAATTTTCAGGAGAAAGCATTAGTCAAAAGTCTAGTGGAAGATATAAGATCTTATGAGTTCGCTTGTATATTACATTTGATGTTAAAGTTATTGGCAATTACATATGATTTGAATATGGCCCTACAAAAAAAAGATCAAGATATTGTTAGTGCAATGAAACTTGTTGATTTCACAAAGAGGCAATTGCAAACAATGAGAGAATCTAAATGGAATTCTTTGATAGAAGATGTCTCTTCGTTTTGTGATAACAATGGTATTGCAATCCCAAAAATGGATGAGAAGTATGCACTTGGAAAGTCGAAGCGTAAAAGCTCAACTGTTACATATTCCCATCATTTGTATTTAGAGGTTTTTTATGCTGCTATTGATTTACAACTTTTGGAGCTTAACAGTCGTTTTAGTGAAGTGAATACTGCTCTGCTTCTTGGTATGGCTAGTTTGAGTCCCGATGATTCTTTTGCGAATTATGATAAAAACAAGATTATGAAACTTGCTACATATTATCCAAATGAGTTCACTGCTTCTAAGCTTGAAGATCTTAGTTATGAGCTTGACAACTATATTGAATGTGTGCGAGTAATGACAATGCATTCTCTAACTTGAAAGGGCTTGGTGATCTGTCAAAGGCATTGGTTAAAACAAATATTCACAAGACATGGGGACTTGGTTATTTGCTTGTGAAGCTGAGTTTGATATTACCCGTGGCTACTGCAACGGTTGAAAGGGCTTTTTCTTCAATGAATTTATCAAAAATGATTTGCGAAGCAGGATTGGTGATGACTTTTTGAATGATTGTTTAGTTTGTTTTATAGAGGATGAAGTATTTGAAAGTATATCTAATGATGCTATCGTTGATCGTTTTCAAAACATGACAACTCATCAAGAGCAATTGAAATGATAATGTTTATATTCATATATTGTGTTTGTCTTTCGTTACTTTTTAAATATATGTTAAATATAGATACTCATTCTTTAGTTAGTTTGATATTGTATATTAGTTTTAGGTCATAGTCTTATTTTAAATTTTAGAACCCACTCACTCCAAATCCTAGCTTCGCTTCTGCTATTATGGATAACTTTGTTCAAATACCAACGAAAGAAGATTAAATATTAAGACATAAATTAGGGTAAAGTAATCACAATCTTATCCTAATTATTTTTTGGTAAGGGGTATGCACAAGAGAATGATGACAGATAAAATGGAGGGAGTAATAGACATTAGTGTGCTTAAAAGTTTGAAACCAGATATGCATTGTGAAGTTGCTGTGCGGCAACGGCGTCTAGCGTAGGGAGTGGGTAAGAAAGTGAAGACTTTTTAGCTTAGTATGCTGGAGCGCCAACGATCTCTGGAGTCTATAGCCTCGGGTCTCTGATTCTCCATTTCTCACTGGTGTAATTATTGTCCTTTCTTGAAAAAAATAATTAATTTGAGGACTGACTCCCATACTTGCAATAAATGATAATGCTTGTTCATTTGAAGAGTAAATGTGTTCTCTGAATTCACAGTATTAAATTTTAGCAGCAGTAGAAAACAGGTGACCTTGGGATTTGCAGAGTCCAAAACTCAAAAATCCCTCAATTTTCTTTTTTTTTTTTGTACTTCTATCTTAGATAACAATAAAATAAATTGCTAGAAATATGAGTTGATCTATGTTACTTTTTTTTGAAACATGAGATAAAAAGAAAATTTAAATTAGACATAAGTCTTGTCGAATACTGAATTGTCCTTAACCTTCACGTTTTGATTACTTTGTGTATTTCAGTATTTGGATTGGATTAAATAATTAATACGGTCTATATGGAAATGACTAATGTAGCGAACCATATGCCAGAGTTATTATCAATTATAAGTCATTTTTGGCAAGGTTTAGTTCCATACATGTAAAACACAATTTTGTTTGACAATGCTAAGTACTCTCCAAATCATGAAGACACATATAATAAAAAGTCAAGCCCAAAAAAACAGTTGATCTTAGCATCAACTCATTAATCAAAATGGAATTATTGATCTATCTTTTTCAATTATGGTGTACTTTGGAAATAGTAAATAGTAGTTGCAGCAAAATCAAGTGGCCAAAGGCTTTACTTAATTAACGATTTTTGGCTGGACTAAAAAGAAGATAGTAAATACATATGGTTGTGGTAATTAGTGCTATCTTAACCACAAATATCATATGGTTGTTGTCAAACTATCTTAATCTATATTATGCATGGTAGAAAAGCCAAAAAATTGTAGGAAGTCCTTACATAGAATATAATTATTGTTAATCAAATTAGTATGTTGTACTAGTAATTATTTTCATTTTTTCTCAAAAAAATCTTGGAAATCTTTTCCTTGTATCATAGACTCCAAGCAATACGGAGCCATAACTAGGAGCTGCTCTTGATTCCCATCATTCGTTAAACACTTGATAAATTTTAATTAGAGTCTTTATAATTGATAATTAATTATACCAATAATTATGTTTTCAATATAAAGGTACATATTGAGTGAAGTGCTGGTGATAACGGTGTGAAATATAATTATGAAATTACCATCAATAATCAAACAAAGAAGAGTTTTACTGAGCCAATGGAAACACAATATATTAAAACCGAAGCCGGAACAGAATTTAAAATCAATATATACTACCACTACCAGTCTTAACGGTAAGATTTAGCTTTTAAAAATGTAGAAATATAGCTAGCTAGAATGTGAGATATGATTTAAAATGAAATAACTTGAAAGTGACATCCAAATTGAAATATGAAATGTTAGCCCAAAAATATTGTTCGGCATTCTCTATCGTTTTGGAGCCGAGAGTCTATCGGAAACAGTCTCTTTACTTTCATAAGATTGGATAAGGTCCGGGTACACACTATCCTTCACAGATTCAATTTATGAGATTACACTGAGTTTGTTGTTGTCGTTGTAGGCATTGTCTCTGTCGTAGAACTGGACCTATATTAAATTAATTAAAATGGAACAAGTTTCCTGCAAATAAGCTTGTACAACTTCAGATATGTTTTAATTAGAATCATGTAAATTGGATTATATATCTGTCTTCTCTATCTCTATTCGATGCCTTAGCGATTTGCAAGTTGAGCAAAATACTATTTGTATATTAAGCAGTTGGAAGGTGAAATATTTATACCAATAGCATTTCAAATAATAATTGTTTTAAAAAATCTATTTGATTTCCGTCAAATAATCTGGCATCCTATGGCTTCTTCTTTATTTATAGTGTGCTACTCCAGAGTATAAGAAAAAATTAATAGTATAGTTGAATGAAATTGCTGGCAAGTTACACACATCGCATTAAAGAAGTTTACATGATATAAAACATTTAATACCTACGAACTAATCTAATGAGCTTCATCCACTCATTCTGTGAAAGGCACAACAATTGAAGTGCTTACGTTTATCATTGCAATTTAACTAATTATTGACATTTTATTAATTACTCTGTTTTCGATTTATAGCTACTCGATACAAATAATTACTTACTGTTAGTATATGTCAACTTAACTTAATGTGTAAAAGTTCTTATAATATGTTCAAGTACATAGCATAAACTCTAAAATATAGAAGGAAAAACTCGGAGGTGGAGGGATTAAGTGAGTTATTCCGGAACAAAACTTGGATAATATCTATATTGTATTTGATTGAGAATATTAATTAAAACTAGGATAAATTTTACACTGCAATCATGAAATTATCTATTCAATATAAAAGATGGAATAACTAACCATGGATATAGTTTCAAAATTTTATATTTTAGGGTGTGTTAGGTATAACGGAAAATATTTTCGGTGGAAATTATTTTCTTGGTAAACAAGTAGTAATCTTATTCATTTTTCGGTGTTTGGTACGCAAATTAAGGAAAATAACTTCTCAAGAGTATTAATAAATAATCTAGATATAATAAACATGAAGCCATAAACTTTCAAACCAACAACCTTCCGAATCCACAAATTCCATAAACTTTCGAACCGCTAAACTTTCGAAACTGCGGAATTTTGAACCCGTAAACTTTATATTTTCTAAACCCGTAAACTTCCAAACACATAAACCTCCGAACTCATAACTTTGGTACTTGTAAAATTTTGAACCTTTAAACCGATATAAAAAAAAACTAAAACTGAAAAATATAATTTAAATTTTTTTTTCGGGGGGGGGGGGGGGGGGGGGGGGGGCAGGGGGCTGAGGGTAAGGGAGTAGGGGGAGAGTGGGGATGGGTGGTGTAGAAAAACGAAAAAAACAGAAATTTGAAAAATTGCAAAGAAAAAAATAAGGTAAATTTTTTTTTTTTTTGCGGGAGGAGGGGGGTTGGTGGTGGGGGGGGTAGGGGTGGGGTGGGGTGGAGGGGTAGTAGGGTGTGATAACAGAAAAACTAAATTAAAAAAAAAAAAAAAAAGCCTTTTTTTGGAGAGTGGGTGGGTGGGGGGGGGGGGGGGTTGGTAAGGGTGGGGAATGTTGAGAAGGAGTTTTGGAAAATGTTTTCCCGTCTCTTGATAAGGAAAATATTTTCCTAAAAAAGGAGGAAAATGAGTCGATAAGGAAAATATTTTCCAAAACATTTAAGTCAACCAAACATAAGAAAATTAAAAAATATTTTCCGGAAAATATTTTCGTTCGTACCAAACACATCCTTAGTATAACCTCGTTTTGAACCAAATAACCCCTAACAGATTAAGAAATTATAGGCTGTAGCCGAAAGTTATCGGACGCAACGTCTGTGTCATTACGCAGCCGACTTTGTGCCTCTAACCCAATCCGAGTAAAATTAAAAATCCATAATTGAATAAATTAACAAATCGCCAGCACTTAATGTTAAAATACTAAAGAAAACTTATAGTTAGAGGAGTCCCAGATATAGAAAGTGGCCAGGTTGATGGACCCACGTGATGGGCCCATTTAAAATGGGACCCGGTTGGAAAGTTTATACGATGCTGTCTGCCACGTGGTCAACATAGGGCCTACACTATCGCTACTATCAGCTGATTCAATTTAATTCATAGTTCCCTCTCAAGTGACTTTTTCTGAACAGAAACATTATAATAAGGAAATAGTACAAAATACAAAGTAAACTAAAATAAAATAACCTTCCACTCATTATTAATCAATAATGCCCTTACCTATCGAGTTAATGCTTAATAATTCACGAAATGATATAGCTTTTATTTTAATCTAGCGTAATGCACCAACCTGCCATTGGCACGTGATCACGACCTGAACTTGCCAGTATTATTTTTTTCTCCTTATCCCTCTTTATTACAGTATTTGATTGTGATTGAGTCAAACTGTGGCCCCTTTTCAACAATTTCTCATACTGTAGAATTCTTCTCTTACATTAATTATTGTTTTGAGGTTAATGTTATCTTGGAAAATGTGGTTCACTGCAGGTAGATCTAACAAATGTGTAAATCAAGTTACGTATTTGAACTCCTATTTCTTTGAACATTTAATCTAAAATCTTAAATTAAATGCATGGTTGAGTGAACTCAAGATTATATACATTATGCATGCACTGACGTAACATACTCGATATGAGCGAATGCTCTCCTATAGTCAAAGGTGTCTCAAATGCCCGACCGATTCTAGAATTCACAAATAAACCTGATACGTATTTATAACGGTAATAGAGAACTTATCAAAGGGTAACTTTTACAACATATGATAGGATTCAAATATGAATCCAAACCCTTATGGGTTTTTCAAATGAGGTTCACCTGAATTTCTTTTGTTGAAAACTTGTAAAAGATGTAACTTTCCAATTTCAGAGTCAATTCTCTATATGATCATTCG